AGTGGGGTCTAGTCCACCTGCACCGGAGCAGGGGCAGGCAGCCGTGCCTGGGGAGAGCAGGTTCCAGGCACTCCACCGTGCCCAGGTCTGGTTGGGGGTCTCACGTGCTCTCCCAGCCCCAAGGACAGCAGGGCCCTGCCAGGTCCCCATGTCACCATGTCACAATGGCTCACCCCTCCTTGGGCTGCTGAGGGCCTGCATGTGCCAGAGGCTCCATGCACAGAACCCCTGGGGCCTTGGACCCACTGTGGCCTGGCTGGGACAGCGCCTCTCAGCCCCTGGAGTTCAGGACCCTTGGCCCCGGACCTGCCCCAAACACCTGCTGCATGGAGCCACGCTGTCAAGGTGCCCAGTATTGGCGGGGTACCCGCAGATGGGCTGGCGATAGAAGTGGGCAGACCACAGGGCATGAGGGTGTGTGTGCTGAGCCCTACGGCCACCTCCTTCCTGAGCTCAGGCCTGGCCTCAGGCCCCAGCAGCCATGGGCTGGGCAGGGTGTCTGGGCCGAATTTCCCGGTCAGCCTGCCCCTCTGTACAAACTTACTGGTTTTCTTTAAATGTTCCCATTACTCAGGCCTCTAGTGGGCACTGAGACAGAAATAAATCCCGCAAGGCAGCCCAGCCAGAAGCTGGGAATCTGACTCCCCCTCAAAGGCCGGAAGAGGCCCCTGTGCAGAGCGCGCCAGACCACAGTGGCTCACACGCTCCACGTGGCCACACCCCCACGCACACGCGCGTGCACACACATCTTTGCACACACAGCCCCCATGAACACTTCACACACATACATGCAAGCTTTCATGCTCACATAGCCACATTAGGTTTGCCTCCTCCACAGCCTTGACTCATGCGTGCATACATGCACATAGTACGCGTGCAGACCTTGCATACGCACACGCCCTGGTAGCCAGGCTCCCATCCATTTTCGACCACACACCCCAGGGTCCTGCATCCCGCCAATCTGAGGGTGCTGGTGGCAGGACAAGTGGGCCAGTCTGCGGGAGGAGGACGGGGCAGCCTGTGCAGCTCGGGAGCAGAGTGGCCTCATGGGAACGGAGGACGGGGCAGCCCTTGCAGCTCGGGAGCAGAGTGGCCTCATGGGAACACAGGACGGGGCTGCCAGGGCTTCTGAATTTTTCAGAGAAGCTGGAAAGCTGAATTTTTATGTGAAATATCCTGATTTTTAAATGTTGGCTCAAGATGTTGAAAATACTGTGAGGGCCAAACCAAACGTGTCTGGGAGCCAAATTCCACCCACAGGCGGCATTTGCAGACCATGGGTCCACACACAGACACACACGTTCACAGACACACACACAAACAAAAAGAGACACACTGGCCAGCACACCGTAAATATACAAACACACATAGACATACGTGGCACACACACAGACACAAGTGTGATACAAATGGAACCACAGACACACAAGCACACACATCCCTGCAAACACACACAGAGGCTGACACACACCTCACCCTCCATCCTGTGGTGTCACTGGGCTCCCAGGGCAGGTAGTGAGTGACTGCCGGCAAGGTGTGAGCCACAGCATGCAGACCCTCCCTCCCAACTGCCGGAGGGCTTGGGGACAGTGACAGGCTGTCTTGGGGCAGAGAGGGGCCGACAAAAGCCTTGGAGGCCAGGCCTTGATGGGGCGGGGTGGGGTTCGCCTGGGTGCACAGGGGCTGAGACGGGAGTGGGGGGCCCAGAGCTCCTCCTCCAGCCCAGTGCACCCCACCTTCCTGTGCCTGGGAAGCAAAGCCAGAGGACTCCAGGGCTGGCAGTGGGAGGTGTCCATCTTCAGAGCTCCCACTGGAGCCATAGGCTCCCTCACCTGGTGGCTCTGCCTGTTTCCCCCTGGCTGGGCCTGGCCATCAGCCCCCGAAACCCCAGGCTGAGCATGGGGAGGGCCTGGCACAAAGCAGTCCTGCCTGCTCGCCCCTCACCCCTGGGTGGGAACCAAGGCCAGGAAGGGTGACACAGGCCCGGAACCTGGTCTCGTGCCTCCTGGGCCCTGGCCCGTCCTTCTTGAGCTATCCTGGAGGTGCTGACCCCAGTCCCTGGGCAGGTAAGATCTGCACACCTGCCCGACCACGACGCTGCAGGAGGGAACCTAGGGATGTCTTGGCCTTGTGCCCTGAAGGTCTCAGGTCTGCCCAAGGGAAGCACAGGGCTTCTGTCTAGTTGCTAAATCCCATCCTGAGGACTTAGGTCGAGACCTGACCTGAGAAGCCTAGGCCAGAGAGCGTAGGTGGCTTGCCCAGGGCCACACAGCACACTGAGCCAGCTGGGGCAGGGCCCCTGTGGCCCTCTGGAGTCCCCCCGCCCCGGGCCAGGCTGACAGCCCCCCCGCCAAGGCCTGTTTTCTTTGGCCATGGTTGGTCCCAGTCCAGTCGGCTACTCTGGAGGCTGGCAGCATCCTCCCGGAGTTGGTCGAGGAGGCAGCAGGGGCAAGGGGCTGAACCCAGCTTGGCCTGGGTCCCAGAGCTGCCCAGCCCCCACTGGGGCCTCCACAGCACCCCTCAGCAGTCCCAGCGATCCATCCGGGGCCTCATTCATGCTAAGCAAATGTTCCACCATTCAGCTGCATCCCCAGTGCCCCATAATGGTTTCTAAATTATGAGACAGGATCTCTGCGATCGTCCAGCCTCCGCCTTCAGCATAGTTGGGATGCAGGTGTTCACCACTGTGTCCAGCTCCGACTCCTTCTCTCCACCACAGCAGAGCCCGGACTCTCAGACCCCGGGGCAGGGCTGTGCCCTGCGGAGCAGCACTGTTCTTCTCAGGTCCCTGGGGGAGCAGGGCTGTGGCCCCCTTGCCCTCTGCCTAGGGTTTCTCTGTCCACCTCCCCAGGGGAGGACTGAGTGTGGAGCACCACGACGCCCCCTCCAGGCCAGGCCCCAGTTCAGCCCTTGGGCCCCAGGACCCCCTCTGAGCAGAGGCTTCGGGCTGGCTCATACCCCTTGAGGTGGGGCCTGTTCCTTCCAAGGTTCCTCAGAGGCCCCTCTCCAGCAGGCTACTCGGGGAGCTGAAGCAAGAGGACTACAAGTTCGAGGCCAGCCTGGGCAACTTAGTGAGACCTCACTTCACAAAAACAAACACCTTTCTGCCCTGTCACAAGTTCCCTCTCCTAAGCCTGGGCTTGAGAAGCCAGCCAGGGGAGCAGCGTCTGTCCACACTGGGGTCAAGTAAGAGCTGGATCGGGCCCGTGAGGAGTGGGGGTCCCTCACCACCCTCCTCCTGCCCGATGCCGCCTTGCCTGCCTGGTGTTTACGTGTTCCCTGTGGCTTGGCTGGGCCATGGGGCCTTGAAGGGAAAAGTGACCACCTGGCTCCAGCCACCACGCAAGGCAAACAGGGTCCTGACCGCCTGCCAGGCCTGCTGAGGGCTCCCACTCCCTCTGCCAACACCTGGATGGCCCGACAGGGCACAGGGCCTCTGCATGCAGGCCGACCAGGCTGCCGTCCTTTCCCTAGAGGTCCAGTTGTGTGGCAGGCATCTGTCAGGGTTGCCCACTCTGAAGCGTGAGCCCTGGCCTGAAATGGGAGCTTTTAAACCAAAGAAGATAAAGAACAAAAGCAGACCCCCCTCCCCCAAAATGGTCCTATTAATTGAGGGGGAGCATAGCCCTGTCCTGGGGCTGGGGTCCCTCTACAGTCAGTGTGCCCAGGCGTCCGAGCGTGTTAGGGTGAGTAGACGAGGCCACTGTGAGGCCCAGCCCACTCTGGACGTTGCCCTTGCCATCAGGTACAGGATGCATCCCTGAGGGCCAGTGTCGGGGGCTCCCAGAGCTCTGAGCTGGGCTGGGCGGGGGTTATCCAGGCCTGACAGCGCCTCACCCGAGGCCCTTCCTGACCTCCACTCCCTGCTCAGCCACTTGTGTCCTGCCTGGCTTCCTCTTCCCACCCTGAACCCTCCTCTGGCCTCCATGTTGGGGTGGGGACTCCTCTAGATCCCAATCAGATCTTGCTGCTCTCCCTCTCCCATTGCCAGGGGCTCCCAGTACCATAGGAGTGCTTGGTGTTCCTCCTCTGTGGCCCCTCGGGACGCCTGGTGTCCGCCTCTCCCACCATCCCTGCAGGTCACACCAGAGCACCACGTGTACCAGGCCCTCTACCTGGCAGGCAGGACCTGCACCACGGCCTAAGGAGTTCAATGTCTTGCAGCTCACGAAGCCCAGCCAGCCCCAGCGGATGGGTCCTGGGGCGGTGGGGGAGCCCTCTGATGGGGGTCCATGGAGGAAAGCCAGGGGCGCGGGGTGGGATGGAAGCCTAAAGCCCAGAGGCAGGGCCATCTGCAGGCTGGTGCCGGGCAGGATGAGTCCCAGCCAGAGACGGTGGGCGTGGAGTTGGGCGGGCCTGGTGGGGCCCACGTCATGCTGGGATAGGCAGGGTCTAGGTGAGTGGGTGTGAGGTGGGGGCACTCGGTGACCCCCAGCCAGACGGGGACCCCAGCTCCCCTCCCTGCTGGCCTGGGTGCTCCCCCTGCCACTTGCTGGTAGCTGGAGGCTGTGGACAGAGCTCCGTGTGGCTGCCAGCCAGCCCAGAAAGGTCCCTCCAGGGGCAGGGCCTTGGGCTGTCATCCCTGGGGGCAGTAAGGAGACAGCAGGAGCAGGAGTTAGGCCACAGAGCCCTGCCTGCCGTGGGCCTGGGCACAGGGGTACAGCATGACCGAGGTGGCAATGGCGACAGGGAAGGACCACAGGTTCAGACTCGAGATCCCCGTCAATGCCGCCTTTCCAGTTTTGCTTTGCTTGTTTGATAGTCTCGCTACGTAGCCCAGCCTGGCTTTGAACTCCCAGTGATCCGCCTGGCTCGGCCTCCAGTGCTGGGAGTAGAGGGGTGCACCCCACACCCTCCCCGGGCCCTGCCCTTGCCGAGGGGTGAGGCCCAAGGCCCACTTCTGGGTCAGCTCCCCCAAACTCCCCCGTGGCTCCCAGACCCCTCCCTCCCTGGAGTGAACCCCAGTTCAGAACGTAGGAAGCCACATACCACTTCCTTTTCCCTTTTTTTTTCTTTTTTCTCTTTTCCCGTTTCTCCTCCTGGCCCAGCCCTGAGTGGGCAGCCGCCCAACCACTGGTCACTTGGTCCGTCTGCCTGGCCGCCCGTGCCCACGGGTCCAACCCGGTGCTGTCACATGACGGTCTCCCACTCTTCCTGCAGCAGCGGGTGTGGCCGCTCGGGCCCCGAGGCCTCCTCATCCAGGCCAGGGCAGGGGCCCGTGAGGGACCCATCGTCCTTGGGGGTGGCCTCCAGCGTCTCCAGGGCTGGGGCCCCTGGCTTGGTGTGGCCGGGGAGCTGGGAGTGGCCGTTGGTGGTGGCAGCGGGCAGCAGGCGGGGGCTGAGGGGCAGGCCGAGTCCCCCTCGGGGCCCCACATTGGTCACACTCGTGTGAGACACCATTGGGCCGTAGCTGTAGCTGCTGCTCCCGCTGCGAGCCTTGCGCTTGAAATCCAGTGCCAGTGTCCAGCGGCTCCAGGATTTCTTGATCTCAGCCTGTACCTTGGGGTGGCAGGGACCAGTCAGTTCTGCCCTCAACCCCTCAGCTGCGGGTGCCCCGGCTCCAGCACTGCCCCATCCCTGCCTCTGCAAGGCCCTTCCAGCACTGAATGAATCATTACTGCACAACTGCAAGGCCAAGTCCAATTTCGCCACCCTCAATATGGTGCCCGAATGCAGGCACTTGGCACACCCAGGATCCACAAGGCTTAAGTGGTCCTGGGGGTGGCTGTGCCCTTGGCCTGGGAAGACACCAGGCCCTGCCAGATCGAAGAGCTCCCAAATCCTACCACACCCTGGATCTGAGTCTTCCAAGAACACTCCTCTCTGCCTTGAAAACACCCCTGGGTGGGCTATTAGGGTAACAAAGAACGGGCGGGAAGAGTGGAGGAACAAGCAGAAGCCCGCCCCGGTGCTGCCCGCTGCTCACCTCACCGTTGCAGAAACAATAAATGATGGCGACAAAAAATCCCTGTGGAGAGAGGTGCAAGGGATCAGGGCCACCACCACTGTCCCTCCCCCGCCCCGTCCAGGGCCAGCGCCGAACCTGGAAGGAGTTGAACAGCATCTCGTAGTGCATCTGGATCTGCCAGAGAGTCCCTGAGACCTCGGTGTAGGGCAAGGCCATGAAGACGGTGTAGTGGACGCCGAAGAGCGGCATGAGTACCAGCGTGGACTTGAGTAGCTTCCTGGCCATGGGGTGGGCAGGTCAGGCACACCCCGTCCCCCAGCAAGCATGGCCACCCTTGCTGGCCCCGGGCTCCAGAGGCCCCAGAGGGGCCTGAGGCACAGCGTTACCAGGGCTCCCCGGCTCTGAGTGGTATCCCTAAGTGGGCCACGAGTCTGGCCCGGCCCCAGGCCCTGCGCACCTGCTGGTCCTCAAGGCCCCCGGTAACAGCTCTGAGCGAGGCCTGCACCCATCCTCCCCTGCAAGTCCCAGGTCTGATGCAAAGCTTGATGCCACGTGGGCTCTGGGGCGCCAGTGGTAGGGCAGCCAGGCGACAGGGGCCCAGTCCTGCCCTTGTGCAGGAGGTGCTGGCCACCAGAGACCCCAAGGCCATGCCCACGCCGGGCCTCACCGGTACTGCTGCCGAGTGTCACACCGGCCTGCATTGGTCTCCCGAAGCTTGGTGGCCAGCACCCGGATGATGTTGATGAAGAGGATGAAGTTGAGCTGCAGGGGTGGGGAGGCGGCATCTGGGGCTGTGTCCTCATGGCCCCGGGGCAGGGACTCTGCCACCCACACCCGTCCCCAGGCTTGGCCGCTTCCTTTCCAGGTGGCTCTCTGCCCCGGTCTGGACTAGAGTGAAGGCTCGCTGGTCCCCAGGGTCCAGGGAAGCCTCCTATGTCCTTGCCCGGCGTGTCCTTGGGGCCCACACCCACGCCACCACCCACTCCTGCTCACCACAACGGAGGCCAAGATGGGCACCTGGATTATCCACTTCTTGTGCCCGGAGCTCAAGTCCCAGCACCTGGGGAGGTCCAGGCATTAGGGCCCAGCCCCTCCTTACCAGGATGGGGGAGGGGCGTGGCCAAGCCTGAAGCCACCTTCACAGGCCCCAGGGGGTTCCTGGCTAGAATCGGGACCACTCAGTGCCAGGGCCCAGGAGGCTTCCCGGGTGGAGGGAGGGAGCCAGGGGTGTTTCCAGCCTGTGTCAGCAGCACCCAGGCCCCGCGTCCAGCTGGACCTACCCAGTGTTGGCCAACGTGGCTCTGACACTGACCCACACAGCCACGAAGACGGCGGGCAGACCTGTGGGCACAGAGGGTGGTGTGAGGGGCTGACAGCCCAGCTTCCTGTCTCACCCGGGTCACCCGAGCAGCTAGAGACAGAGCCAAATCCCACACGTGCTGCCTAACAACTTTCCCTGGGGGCCCCAGCATTGGGACCCCGCCGGTTCTGTCTCCCACAGGCACCCACGCTTGCCTGCTGGGCACATGGCGAAATAACCAGGTGCCACCAGCTTGCTCAGGCCCAGTCAGCTGTGCCCCTTCCTGAAGCACAAAGCTCTCCACTTGGCGGGAGCCGTGAACAGCACTTCTGTGTCCCCTTATATCCCCTACCTGGCTTGAAAGCCCCAGCCTACACAGGTAAGGTTGGCTGGGGTAAGGGGTGTCCCGCCAGCCTGGCCAGGGGCCACAGGGAGCCCCAAGTGTCCCACCTGGGCCAGCTCAGGGAAGGGAGCCCCCCTTGTAGGCCTGGTGCACCCTTGGAGGGACAGGCTGTGACCCGCGGGTTGGGGGGAAAGAGCTTCGACATTCCCGGCCACAGCATTCCGCATGCTTCCTGGACCTCATGTTACCATCCAGACACCTCTAGGCCCCAGCGCCTGTGCCAGCTCCTGGGAGCTGGGACCAAGCCAGGTCTCCCCAGCTCTGAGGGCTGCCCCTGGGGAGGTTGGGCAGGGGCCGGGTGTGTGCCAGGAGGCAGGGAGGCTGCGACCCGAGGGCCTCTGGGTGCTGAGTGTGGGAGGGCTCCAGCCACCTGACCCATCCTCTGCAGCCTGGCTAGCGGCCCAGGAGCCCAGCCAAGCTCCTGAGCTGCCAACAATAACGGCCAATTATCGGTAACCGGATCCGAGGGGCTGGGAACAGTGCAGAGACCCAGGAACCCATTCTCCAGAGGGGCCGCTGAAGCCCAGAAGGGCGAAGGAATGGGGAGGGTGACAGGCGATGGCCCGGCCCACGGGGCTCAGGGTAGAGGAGGTCCGGACTCCAACTGAGCCCCAGGCAGACCCCAAGCAGGACCAGGTGCTGCGGGTCTCCCCTCCCCCTCCCCTGGGCTGAGCCCCCACCTGGGTGAAGCTGGCTGCAGGCGAGCAGACTCAGGCCCTGACACCAGGTGAGCCCCAGCCATGGCACAGGGCAGGCTTCGGACACCTTACCCCTGGGGGTGCCCCCTCGCCCTGCGTACCCCAGCCAAAGACTGTGAAGCCCCACAGGTACTTCTTCTCAGAGAAGAAGGCCATGAAGATGAGGCTGTGCAGGTAGAGCCCCTCCACCAGAATCCAGTAGTAGTTGGTGGCCAGGAAGTAAAGGAAGAAGGTCACCGCCACCCGGCAGCCCACCTAGGAGACAGCGTGTTAGCCAGGGGCAGAGCCTTGGCTGGCGACATCAGGGCTGGGCAGGCAGGAGGGCAGGGCAGGGGTGGGACAAGAGCTGCTACCAAGCAAGCCCCCTGAGCTCTGGGGACCCCGGGACAGGCGGAGCCACGGAGCAATGAGGAGCTGCGAGGGGCCCAGGGTGGCAGGAGCACGGCCCCTGAGGCCCTGGCCGGGGGGTTGGAAGCAGAGCTGAGGCTGGGTCCTGAAGCGAGGGGTGGCAGTGGGGAAGGCCGGGCATTTGGGCTGCACACAGGGCGTGCAGGCTGGGCGCTCACGTAGCCGGCGGCGGGCGGCGGTGGCGCCTGCGCGAGGACGTGCAGCTCCTGCTCGGTGAGGCGTTCCGCCTCGTCCAGGGTGAAGCCCGAGTACAGCACCGCATCCTTCACGAAGATGCTGGCGGCGCGCAGCATGAAGGACAGGAACATGTGCATGTGGATGTAGTTGCGCGTGCAGTGCAGCCGCCTGCGGGCGTGCGACATCACCGTGGGTGGGGACCGTGACCAGGACGCCTCACGGCGTGGGCGTGGGTGCGCAACGTGGCCCCGCCCAGACCCCGCCCACCCAATCTTGCCATCCTTCCAAACTGCCACTGCAGGCCACGCCCACATACTATCACCAAGGCCCCGTGTCCCACCCAGCCCAACAAACCCTGCCCAAGCCACACCCACCCTTGTCCTGCGCCCCAATACGCCCGCCCCCATCACCAAACCACTCCCACACCCCAGCCACGCCCATCCCATATGGCAGCCCCCCCCCCCCACCTAAAGTAGGCCAGGATGAGCACGGCCACGGTGAGGGAGGCCAGCGACATGGAGTAGCCCACGGTGTAGATCATGCCCAGGCGGTCGAACACCTCCTGTGCAGGAGGGGAGATACAGTTAGCTGGGATTAGTCAGGGGAGCGTGGGCAAGGGTTAGGCCAGGCTCAGGCTGCTGGAGGAGTCCGGGTGGGAATCAGGGCTGGGTGAGGGTCACTCTGCATGGGGCCGCGGCGCGGGCTGCCCGGGGAGAGCTCGCACCCGTTCCCGAGTCTCGTTGGTCAGGAACTTGAGGCACTCGGTGTAGTTGGCCCACGTCCGATTGTGCCCGGGCACCACCTCCCAGCTGCCGTTGTGGTCGCAGCGTCGGTAGGCATGGCCTGTGGGTTGCGGGAGGGCCAGGTGGGCAGAGGGCCTGAGGTCCAGCCCTGCCCCGGGAGCCCGTCCCACAACGGCACCAGCCTCACCTTTATGATTGAAGTCGTAAATGTAGTCCGGACAGGGCACGGCCACCACCTCACCCGGAGCCCCCAGGGGCCAGCACACGATGTAGTCCCACTCAGGCAGGCAGGGGTGTCCTGTCCAGAGACAGACAGGGAGGGGACACCAAGGGGCCGTCAGAGGCCTGCGAGGGAAGTGCAGGCAGGCCTGGGGACAGCAGGCAGGAGCATCTGGAGAGAGTGTACTGGGCCTGACTTCCGGCTGGCCCCAGCACACACTGGCCCCATCTTCCAGGTGGTCTGGAGAAAGCCGAAGAGACGGTGACAGCCCCAGTCTCCGTCCCTGGTCCAGCACCCAGGGCCCCCGAGGAAAGGCAGGTGCACAGACTGATTCCCGGGGCAGGGTGGGCCCCCAGGGAACCTTCTCCAGGGACCACGGACAGCAGGCTCCCGACCTCACCCAGGAGTCCTGCTCTCCATTTATGTTTCCTCATCTGGAAGCTGGGCTTGACCCGCCCTTCCACCGGCTTCTAAGGTCACCCTGAGACCTGCTGTGAGACTCACAGACCACCATGGGGGCCACGACCCCCCAAAGCTAAGTGCTAACTTAGCACTTCATGGTGAGATCCCAAAGCAGGGTGATGCGCCCATCTGGGTCCCCGGCCCCCGCACGGTCTCCACGCTGCCCCAGCACACCGTCAGCTCCCTCTCCCCCGCTGCAGGGACTGCAGTTGTCCTCCAACCACAGGACTCTCCAGCCTCCCTGGACAGCTGCCTCGACGGCCGGACCCGCCCAACTTGGTCAAAGGCTCTCTGTCCTGGGCGCCATATTCCCAACCCCACCCAGCAAGCTCACAATTCCCTCTGGTCCCTGGGGAGCCGCAGGGTGACCACAGGCTCCCAGATGTGGCCCATCTGGAATCCGCTGCCCACCCGGCCAGTTCTAACTGGCCCTGTGGCCACAGCCTGGGCTGTGTGAGTCTCTGCTCACCTCCCAGAGGGACAACGCCACCTTCCTCCTCTCCCCGCCTGGCCCACTGTCCCCGCCCCGCCCCTCCGCGGCTGCCCTACTATTTCATTCCGGCTGTTTGACCCTCCCCACTGTGTGCCACCCTACACCTCCTCCACAGGCCCTGCACCTTCAGACTGTGCCTCCCGGGCCCCTGTGTCAGTGGCTTTCTCTCTGCATCTCTCCCTGGCCCCGTTGCCCAGGATTCTGTTTTCTTTCTCTCCAGAGCTGTACTCTTAGGGGGTGGTGACCACATCTCCTGGGGTCCCAAGTCCCTTCCAGTTTGCCTGGGCTGCCTCTCCCCAGCCCCTGCCCTGCTTCTTGGGGAGGCAGCTGTGGCCCCTTCCTTTCCACCTGCCACACGAACTCACACATCTGATGGGGACAGGCTACTCAGCAGGATGCAGGCAGCTGCCGTACCTTGGCGCCTGCTGCCAGCGGACACCTCCTTGTCTTTCTTGGACTCGGGGTAGAGCTTTGAAGATGTCTTCTCCTTCCTGGGCTTTCCGGATGTGGACGCTGACGTCCATCCCTTGTCTGATTCCATGATGTTGGCTGCAGAAATCAGGGCATTCACAGCTGTTGGGGGGCTGCACCGGCAGAACTGGGGTGGATCCTGGCCTCAGACACCTCCTTGGAACAGGGGGATCTGTCCCCTGCCCAGAGATGGGGGGCACGGGCGTGCTTTACAGATGGTCGGGTGTGCACATGTGCGGGTGTGCATCTGCTCTGGGAGCTCAGGCAGTCGGGCCCTCAGGTGTAGGGGGGTTGCCAGGCCTGGACCAGTGTTACAAGGCCCCATGTCCGCTGCCAGGACAGGGGCTTGTGGGAGGAGCATGGCGAGACCTGCCTGAGGGGGTTTAGGCTGGTGCTGCCCCATCCCCCTGGCAGGGCTCCCACGGAGGCCTGAGTGGGTGGAGAGCCCCTCTCACAGGCAGTGACACAGCCACTCTCGGCCCCTGTCCCCACCTGCTCTCCATCCAACCCCACAGATGCTCAGTCCTTCCCAACCTGGACCCTCTGCCTTCTCCTCGGCCCAGGTGGCCTTTTCTTTCCTTGCAGTACTGGGTATCGAACCCAGGGCCTTGATCATGCTAGCTAAGCACTTACCACTGGGCTACAACCCCCGGCCCTTTTTGTTTTGGTACCAGGGATCGAACTCGGGCCTTTGTGCTTGCGCACCAGGCGTTGAAACCACTGAGCTAAATACCCGGGGCCCCCAGCCCTTTTTAATTTTTTATTTTCACAGCAAACTTTCGATCCTCCTGCCTCAGCCTCCCAGGTACCTGGGATTACAGGCCTTTGTCACTGTGCCTGCCTGCATAGCACCACCAGGCCTCTTTCAAAGACCTCCCCCTCTTCCCTGAGGGGTCCTGAAAGCCCTTCCTTCAGGAAGCTGTGTAGCAGCACCCGGGCAGGGCTCGGAGCTGGCCTGCCTGCCTGCCTACCCGCCTGGGGCAGCGTGGCCTTCTAGGGCCTCCTACCACCCTGCAGGCATCCCTGGGAGAGTCCGGGTCTTCAAAGCCCCCTCAACTGGCTTCTCAGGGCACCGGGGAGGTGAGGGTGTCTGAGGTTCTGAGGGCTGGGGTGCGTGGACAGCACAGGGGCCTGAGCACGGGTGCCAGGCCAAGGCCCTGCTCACAACACCCCATTTCCGGTCCTCACTTCGGACATCCCTTCTACTGGGCCTACCTGCCCGCCTTCAGCCTCATCTGGCCCCGCCCCTCTAGTTTAGCCCCCGCCCACCTGCGGTCTGCAGCACTTCCTTGAGCAGCTTGTCGCACTGGGCCTGGGCTCGGTGCAGCAGGTATATCTGTTCCTCTTTGGTAAAGACGTCATCCGTGTCTGCCTGCAGAGCCAAGGGTCAGACTGCAGGCAGCAGCAGGACTGTGGGGCCCAGGAGCGGGCCTTCCGAGCCTCCCAGGACTCCCCTTTCCAAAGGCCCTCACTGGGGAACGCGGAAGGCTGGCCACACGTGAGACAGCCACTGTGTAAGCCCTCTTTTCTTTTTCTGTAGTACCGGGAATCAAACCCAGGGTCTTCTCACGGAGCTTTGCCCCATCCCTTTTTGTTTCTAATTTTGAGACAGGGTCTCTTTTAAGCTGCCAAGTTGTCCGGGCTGGCAATCGTCCTGCCTCAGCCTCTCCATGATGGGATCCCAAGCGTGTGTGCGCCACTGTTCCCTCTTGGAGCTCCCACTTACAGATGGGAAGCCGTGGCGCCCTCGAGGGCCTGCCCCAGTCCCCTGCCTGTCCACCAGGAACCCTGGATTCTGGGCCACTAACATTCTCTGTCCGGCCCACTCCCCTGGGGCACTTGGGAACGCATGGAATGTCCCAGGATGAGTCCTCACAGGGCTGCCTGCTGGGGGCATGGGCGGGGACAGGGTGGACGGGGAGGAGTGAATTCTGGGGAGACTGGCCCAGCCGGCCCGGGGCGAGGGGAGTCACCAATTTCCATCCCAGCTCAGCATCCCAGTCAGCCCTTTCCCCAGGGAAGGCTGGGCGCCTCGGCCTCCCCGTAGGGTAGGGGCTGAGGATAGCAAGCAGAGCTGCTGGGAAGCTGTTGGGGCCGGGTGGCACCCCTGGAAGCTTCCCACGTTGAACCCACCCTGTGGTTTGCTGGCAGCCGCAGGCCTTTTCCACTTATGTTTTTCCACTGATTTTTAAAAAAAAATTTTTTTGAGACAGGGTCTCGCCATGTAGTCCAGGCCAGCCTCGAACTCACAGCAATCCTCCTGCCTCAGCCTCCAGTGCTAGGATTACAGGTGTGTGGCGCCTGGTGGGGATGTTCTTCTTTTCCCTCCTGCGACCCTGCAGACTCATGGGGAGTCGCCGAATCACTTCAAGGAAGGGAAAGGCAGCACTTGGGAGGGGGGCGGGTTGCAGCAGGCAGCTCTGGAGAGGGGCTGGGGCTGCAAGAAGCAGCACAGAACTGCAGTGCCTGCACGTGACCCACAGGGACATGGGCATCTGAGGCCTGGGATGCCCCGGGACCCCCTCCAAGTTAGGGCTGTGTCTCCTCAGACCCCGGTCCCCAGACACCACCCCGCAAAGGCTGTGTCTGCTGCTGGACACCCTAGAGCACAGTCCTAGTGCAGCTGGAGAGAGGGCAGGAGGCGGCAGGGAGGCTGGCCGGAGAGCCCGGTTGCAGGGAGAAGTTAATTGACCGCGTCTCTTGGCAGCAGCGCCACGGACTCCCAGGCCAGGCTCTCCCTCAGGCTCCTCCAGGCCGGATCTGCTGGTTTCACTTAGCGAGGGGCGTGCGTGCACGCTCGTGTATGCACGTGCGCATGGCTGCGCACATGCTCTGCCACTGTGTGTGCACTGTGTGTGCCCACTCCTGAGTTCCCACGTGGGCACTGTCCGGCAAGGAAACGCAGGCCTGGAGCCCAGTGTGTGTGTGAACGCACATGCAGTGTGACCGGAAGATACAGCGATCGTTTGAAATAAACACATTATTGCAGTAAAGGACACATGGTCGTGAATCCCCCTCAAAATCCTGCCGCTCACTTCCAACATGCTCACCGCATCATTCCTGCCACCGCCCAAAGCAGCTCTGGAGTCCTCTGTCTTTAGTTGTGCTGTCATGACTGCTTCAATGTCCTGAACTGGTTCAAAACCGATTGGTGGTCATTTTGACTTTGGGGAGGAGCCAGAAGTCTCACGGTGCCAGATCTGGCAAATAAGGTGGGTGAGGACGCAGCGTCGTGTTTCTACCTTTCCACTGCATGGCAATCAGCATGGTAGTTTTGATCACACTTTTAAAAGACCCTCAGAAAAGAGGACTCCAGAACTGCTTCAGAAAGTGGCAAAAATGATGGGATAAGTTGTGTTTGAAGTGGGGGGAGAATTTTGAAGGGGATTAATGGCAATTTGTCTTTCACTGTGATACATTTAAAAAAGTTTATTACGTTCGCTGTATATCTCATCACACCTCGTGTGTGTGAGCACACGTTGGTGTAAGCATGCCTTACAGTTCTTAATGTTCACAGCCCCCACTCACTGCCGCTCTTGTCTCCAGCAACAACTAGCACCAAGCATCCATCCTTGCCTGTATCACCCCTGTCCCACGGGCAGCACCGGTACCACCCTGAGCACTGCCCTGACTGTCAGTCCAAACACTTCACCATCAGCACTGTCACAACTGGCACAACCTCACCGCCAACAGCTTTCCAGCAAAGCACTGCCACCGTGAGGGCAACACCAGCCCCAACATCACCGCCCGCACCCACCCCACTCCTCCTGCCACCTCCACCCTCTAGACAGGGAACACACACCACACCCTGCCCTCCTCGGCCCAGAAGCTCTCAGGACGGAGCGGGCTGCCCCGGTTCCCAGCCTGGCCCCCACACCCCCAGTAGGCCGACTGTCCCTCTGCGGCCACAGCAGATGGCCCAGACCAAGGCAGGCAGCCACGGGTTGAAAAGTGACCAACACAGCGCCCCACAGGTCCAGGGGGGTCCCCCACTCTCTCCATGGCCAGGAGGGAACAAGCTATGTGCTCCCAGCGCCCCCTGCTACCTGAGCTTCACTCATCCACAGGGATGGTGGCCTTGCTTCTGGCCTCTCCTTGGGGTTTATTATTTTATTTTGTTTTGCGGTACTGGGGATTGAACCCAGGGCCTCTGTACTGAGCTACATCCCCAGCCCTTTATTTTTTATTTTGAGGCAGGGTCTCAAATGATTAAGTTGCCCAGGCTGGACTCAAACTGGCAATCCTCCTGCCTCAGCCTCCCAGAGTGCTGAGATTGCGGGCATGCACTTTGGTGCCTGATTTCCCTGGGCTTTAGGATGAATGCAGGTTAGAGGTAGGAAAGCATGGTCCCGAGGAGAAACATTGGTCCCCAGCTCCAAGCCTCAGAGCTGGGCTCCCCTCCTGGAACACCTGCCGACCCTTCCTCATCTGTGTCCTCTGCTTCTCCAAGGAGCCTGGAGCTGTGTCCTGCAGGAGCAGGGTGACCAGAGAGCTGTCACAAGGTAAAGGAAACTGCACAGGACGCCTCTGGGGCAGAGCTCCCTGTTAGCAGCACCACCTTAGAGTCATCCCTCCCCGCCAGGGCTCCGGAGAGATGGGGAGACTGGGTAGATGGGCCGATGGCTTGGGGGACCCCGGGGAGAGCTGGCGGCAGGAAATACGGGGAGCCTGTCGGGTACGATGTGCCCAGCTGGGCTTTCAGGAGGAAGGACATCCCAGTGACCCCTGGATCTACCTAGGACTTGACAGGATTCAGGGTCACTGTTAGGTCCCCCACATCTGTGCTTGGGGAAATGGCCCCTGCTCTGCCTGTGTCCTGGGTAAGGATGGTTTCTTTCCCGGGTTAAGGGGGAAATACTGGTGACAGCTCCAACCCCTTCCTGTCACCCCCACCCCTAGCTCAGCCCTCCCAGGAGTGCCTTCGGCTTGGCCCAGTTCCAGGGAGCAGAGGCGTCGAAGCGCAGCCTCAGACCCAGGCTGCACATCTGGGGGCTCAGACGAGGACTGGGGCTGGCTCAGGGCCACGTGTCACTCTGTCCAAACCTACTGCTGACCGGGCCACATGGCATTGGCCCCAGGTACCCGCAGCCCCATCCTCTGCAGTCTCGGATTAGGGCCGTTGTGACGTCCTAGGGCCCAGGCGTCACAGGGCTGGCCCTCCGTGTGCCCTGAGATTGAGTGGCATGTGCACACCCAGAGCCTGTGAACCTGCGCGTGACGCAGCCCGACCTGACCCAGAGCTGGCAGAGCGGGGTGGCCGGCAGCTTGGGGACATCAGCTGGGACTTGTGGGGCTCCAGGCAGGCACAGGGGCAGACGCAGAAGCTGTCTTCCAGGGAGAGAGCATCTGCGGTCAGGACGCCCAGGTGTATTTTGTCATTTCCTTAGTTCAGAGCCCAAAGAGAAGCCACCGTTCCCTGCCTCCTCCTCCCCACATCTGTCCCTGGGGTGTGCTGTCCCCTAACTCCACTCCCGGGAACCCCACAGAGCGAGGACGGTGGGAGCGGGGACAGCCTGGCCAGGCTGAGGCCAAGGGAGTTAGAAAGAGCAGCCAGGAATGGAGGGAAGCAGCAGGCTGGAGAAGAGGAAAGAAAAGCAGAGGTTCCCAGCCCACAGCGCCAGCTGTGGTGTCATTTCCCACAGTCCTCTGCTGCGCTGAGCAAGTGTCTCTCTGCAGCCTGCAGAGTTCATTCGCCTAGCGGGGGCGGTGGCGGTGTGCTGGGGATGGTGGTTCGTCCCCAGCTCCAGCCAGGCAGAGTCAGCGCTGGTGTCAGGAGCAAGGTGGTTCACAGCTCCCGCAGAGCGGGGAGAAACCTTGGCTAGCGAGAGACCCCCGTGACCTTGTGGCCTTCCTGCACCCCGCCTTCAGGTTCCACTCCTGGGACCCACGCTGGCACCCCATGACGTCTGCCATGCCAGCTGGCTGGGGCTGTTCCCTTGCCCCTTGCTGCCCTCGGTCTGGCTGGCTGGGACAGGCTCCTCAGCCGCCACCGCTGACAAGTGCCGACTTCTCCTCCCCCTCGCAGCCTTCCTGAACAGGCTGCCTGTGTTCCGGGGGGAGGCACCATGACGCCTGCTCCTCCGGGCCAGCCACGCTGGCTGGCCGGCTGGCCTCGGGCAGGGACACGGCGGATCTTCACAGGCAGCCTCTACCTGGGCAGGGAGGGTGGGAGGGCCTTCCCCAGGGCCTAGTGGGCAGAACAGGGTCCCCAGGTGTCACCTTGGGCACAAGGCTGGCCAGAGCTGGGCTTCTTAGCAAAACTTCGCCTCCTCCTGGCCTGCCGCATCATCATCATCTGCAGACAATTCCAGGGGCTGCAAACGCCCCACCCTACCTTTGATTTTCCCCGGGGCTCGCTCTCACCCTCTCTGTGAAGTAGCTGCCTTCCTGGTGTGGTGGCTGGACAACCAGGGAGTGTCCCCAGAAGGCCCACGACAGGAATCTGGGGGAGGCCACTTGACGCCTCATTAAAACATTCCGGAGAAAACCGAAGTCCCCGGGAGGGCCCGGCAGCAGGGCGCCGGCGGGGAGGAAGGGATGTGTCTAAGGGCAGGTGATATAAAAAGCCTCAACAAATCAATACGGCCAGGACAGGATAGATAACCCACAGAAGACGGGCCACTGCCTGGAGCAAGCTGAGAAGGTGGATAATAAATAAGTAGAAAGGCCCCAAGCCACTGATAATCGGTAAATTACAAGGAAAGAGATAGCACTGTCCACTTATCAGGAAGCAAAGTGGAGCACAGGAGCAGAGGACCGGCCCCCTCCAACATCCCAGGAGACACAGGGCAAGGGGTGAGGGCCCTCCCCTCCCGGTGGATGTTGGTGAGTTTGAACCTGCAAAAGCTTTTTAGAGGGCTGTTTGGCCAGACCTATTAAAATGAAAAATGTGTGTGCTCCCAGACCCAGCAAAGACGAGATCTGGAAATATCCTACTGGGAAATAGTCACATGGGGACACGAGGGCATTTCAAGGAGCTTCCGTGCCACCCCCTGGAGGCTTCTTTCACACGCACATGCACGTGCACTTACAAGCAGAGAAAAACGATGTAGAAACAATCTAATGCACATTCTGAGGGAATGCTTCATGAAGCTCACATTTTGGAATACTATGCAGGATTTAAAAAGATAGATGCATATTTACTGACACAAAGGTGTCCAAGACACACCTTTAAATAAGCACTGATACCATTGAACACCAACCAGAGAAACAAACCCGACACAATAGAACAAAGCTATCACCTCCTTGGTATGTACGGAGCAGCACCACCACCTGGAAACACGGGGAGGGAGGGCTCCCCACCCTAAAGTGTTAAAAATGGTTTCCTCTAAAGCAGGCGTGTCATCCTCGCACTCTGGGAGGCTGAGGCAGGGGGACTGCTGTGAGTCTGAGGCCAGCCTGAACTACATAGCGAGACGAGACCCTGTCTCAAACAGATAGACAGACAGAACCCACAGCTTTTGTCTAGAAGAGGATGTCACCTAGGAGGACTTCCCTTTAATCTGTATTAGTTGATTCTTTTGTAAAAATGAACATATTTATACATTAGTTATGAAATTACAAATAAGAAAATAAAAGTTTAAAAAGCCAAAAGATTTTGTTTTTTAAAAAGAAAAGGAAGAAATAGAAAAAGAAAACGCAGAGCAAGACCCAGAGGTCTCCTGCCAGAAGCAGCTCTTGCCCTATTTGGGAGGAAGGAGACCAGAGCAGGGGTAGGAAGACCTGAGTTCAAATCCCATCTCTTCCCCACGAATCCTGGGCTTCAGAGCCCTTCCAATCGATGGCTGGGTGAAGGGGGATGAGAGAACATTTGTGACCCACTCAGGCTCAGAATCTGGGACAGTCACTGCTCAAGACTGCTCAAGCTGAGGAGGACATGGTGGTGGTAGGGTGTCCTTAGGGTGCTGCTCCCCAGGGGAGCCCGGCTTTGCTTCCTCCCCACAATCTGTGGTCCATCCCCTCTGACCCCGCTTCCTCTTCCCTGAAGGTGCAGGAGGAGCCAGCTCAGACCGGGCAACTGGGTTTTCTTCAGCAATTTGCTCCTCCCCAGGCACTAGGTCTCGGAAGAAGTGAATATGCTTGCAGGACCGGCTGGGCGGGGAGCACACAGGTTCGGGGCCAGAGAGGCTGGTGGGCTTGGTGGGCACTGATGCAGTTTGGACAGAAACCCTCCTGCTGGCTCCCGCTGAGCCAGGGGCCCACAGGACACCAGCAGCAGGTGTGTTGCCCATTGCCCCCCTCAGGCCACGTCCCCAAGCCTGGGAGTCCATGCCGCAGTCAGGTCTGGACCCTCAGACTCTCACTGGCACCCCTCCTGCCCTCCTACCTCCAGCTGAGCCAAGAAAACCCTTCGCACACAGCTCGGCTTCCCTGCAGAGCAGTGTCCGGCTCTGGGGACCCTGGCTACCACGCGCAGAGACGCGCAGGGCCTGGCACTTGCTTAGTGGGAGATAAACAATATCATAGTGGTTGTGTGATTTGGGTCCAGGAAATGAGGACAGCTGGCTTCAGTGGCACACGCCTGTACTCTCAGCACTCTGGGAGGCTGAGGCCGGAGGACTGTTAGGTTCCAACTCAGCCTGGGCAACTGGGTGAGATCCTGGCTCAAAAATAAATAGATAAATAAATTTTAAAATGGGGACGTGCATTGCTGAGACAGTCACTGGGAAGAGCAAGCTGGCTGATAAGATCAGTGTCAGAAGGATGGAGGTGTTTATTAAATACGAATCAGAAAACAACAGACCCAGGCCACACATGCTTACAGTGCACGCGCACATGTGTGCCTAGCCGTCCAGCACAAGGCATGTACAGACCCACAGCCTCCACACACGTGAACTCCCTCATGGGCTCAGACACAACCCTAGACCCTGAGCAGCTCCACACCCAGCCCCAGAGTCCCCCAAACCCTGCTCCACCCAGTGCAAGGCACACTCAGGACACGAGGGCCCATGGCCCTGTCTGCCCTGCACACGACATGCACACGCCATGCGCACGTGGTGCATGTGAAGAGCTCATGGAGGGCTTAGCCCCTGGCAGCCGTACTGGAGAGAAACCTTAGGCTCTAGCTAGAGTCCTGCCTCCGGCCAGAACTGTGAGAACAGGGCACACTGTAAAGTGGGTGCTCGGAGGGGCAGAGTCTGACGGGGGAATGTTAGAAAATGCCTCTCTGACGCCCTCTTTTACAGATGGCACGACTGAGGTGTGCAGGGCAGCTCCAGGTCACAGCCCTGGGCAGAGCTGGAGGAGCCCCAGGCTTGGGCCTCCCAGCTGGGGCTCTGTAGGTGCTGGAACCCACTGCTGCCCAGAGTCCTCTCGGGAGGCCAAGGGTCACACCCCGGCGGGGATAGGGGTGGGGGCTGGATGGGCCTGGTGCTCCCAAGGAACGTCTCCAGGCTCTGTCCCAGGATGGGACCCTGTGCAAAAGTCTCCAGCTCTCTCCTCTGCAGTCTCTCCGTTTGGGTTTGCTGCTCTGGGACTCTCATCCCCACTTCCCTTTGTCTGGTCTCTAGCTTTCTCTGCCACTGTCTCCGGGTCTCTACTCTCCCTCAGGGGTCTTTTCACCTACGGGGATGCCCTTCCAGCACGGGTCTCCTGCAGGCCCGCCATGCCCTACCACACCCACCTCCGCGGGGCAGACAGCCTGGGCCCTGGGTGAAGCAGGCCACGGCTGCACGCGTGTGTGTGATCGGGAGAGCAGAAGGGGGCCCTAAACCCTGCCCCTGCCTGGGGGATCCTGACTTTCGAGCCCCTGCTTTTGCGGGCTAAACTTCCAACAAGACTTGCAGAAAGCAGAGGCCCCCAAATCCCAGTCTTCGAGACTCCACAGCCAGAGTGAAAGCCTGGATCACAGAGCTTTCCGCTGGATCACACTGTCACCTCGGAAGGGGACACCCCACACCGCGTGTGTACTCCTAGAGTGGGAAAATCCCAACCACTGATTTCCAGTCCTGGGACCCCAAACCTAAATTTCAGAACCGGGGAGGCTCCAGGCATCTGGCACCCACAGTCAAGCTCGGAAGAGAGCAGCAGGGGCCGAGGATCCCGGGTCCAAGGGAGCCACCATCCATAAGTTCAGACGGTGGAGGAGGTGGCGCTCCGCAGCGCAGACCCTCCCGGGGACCCCGAGCCGCGCCAGGACCGTCCCGAGGGCGGCCCGCGTGCGCGGCGAGCGACTTACCACCGCGTACGCGGAGCTGAGCACTGGGCAGCAGAGCAGGAGCGCCAGGCCGGGAGCCATCCGGGCGGCCCCCATAGCCGCCGCCTAGGGCCGCGTCCCTCGGGGCAGCAGCCGCCGGCCCTGGTGGGGAGCGGGGGTGCAGACTACGTCAGGCCGGGCCGCCCCGCCCACGCCCGGGCCTAAGGGACCCCGGCGTCCCGGCCGCCCGAGGCCCGGGAGCCCGGCGCGGGGCCCATGCGCCGAGGGCGAGCGCGGCCCGGAGAGGGCGGAGAGGGCGCAGGGGAGGAGGGAGCGGCGGGCGGGCGCAGAGGGCGGCGGAGCGCGGCCGTCTGCCTGCAGCGGAGAAATCACATCCATATGGCCGGGCCCCCCGCCCCCGGCCCGCCCCCCGCGCCGCCTTTCCTTTCTTTCCCTCTTTCTTTTTTTCCTTCTCCCTTAGGGGGAACTGGGAGCTGCGGCTTCGCCCCACGCCCATGGGGGAGGGGCGGGGGAGGGGTCGGGGTCGCGGTCCGCGGGGGGCGCACGCGGTTATTTTTAGCTCCGCGGCCGTCGCGGGAGGGGAGCCGGGGCGGGGCGCGCGGGGGGCGCGGCGCGGGGACGGATCCGGAGACAGCAGCGACGCCGGCCCCGCGGCGCCCGGACCCCCGCCCCCGACCCTGTTCGGGCGCCCACCGCCCGCCCCTCCCCGCGCTCCGCCCGGCCCCGCCCGCGCCCCCCGGCTGGAGCGCGCGGCCCGGCGCCGGGTGCCCAGGTCCGCGCGCCGTCGCCAGCTCCCCCCCGGCCGTGGCCTCCGCTCCTCGCGGCCCCAGGCTCCGTCTCGGTCACTCCCTCGAGCCCGCCTCCCCTCCCCCCCTCCCCGCTACGAAAACATTCGCAAGTTTCCAAAAAAGCCACCGAGCCGAGCGGCGCGCGGCCGGCGGCTCCATCGAGCTCTGAGGAGAGGCGCCGCCCGATCCGGAGACAGCCTCACCCGGACGGCGATCCCCGGACCCCGCGCTCCCGGACCCCGGACCCCGCTCCCCTGGCCCCGACTTACTCCGAGCGCGCCGCTGCGGCCCCCGCCTTGCCATGGATGTCGGGGCTTCCCCGACTGCTGCCTCTGCGAACCAGCGCCCCGTCCGCGGTCCTGGGGGTGCTGCATGGAGCTCTCGGGGTGCCCCCCGCCCGGCCGCGGCCCGGAGCCGCCGCGCGTCCCCAGCCCCGCCGCCTGCCGCGCCCTCCCCGCACGGGCGCCCGCCCTCCCCTCCCCTCCCCGCCCCTCCCCGCCCCCGGCCCGCGCGGGTCCCCAGTGCCCCGTCCGGGTCGTGCGGCCAAGGGGCGAGGAGGACATCGGGGCCTGGGAGCCGCCCGGACGCTGCCGCCTCTCCACTCGACCTCAGCAAATCACACTTTTAAAAAATTCCCTGATCCTCCGGGCCGGGATGAAGGACGGGGACCCTTTGCCACCACAGGGTCCCCTGGGGGGCGCTGCGCCCCGCGAGCTCAGGCGGCCACTGAGTCGGTCTCATTTCCGGGTCCCCTGGCCTCTTCCCACCTGCGATCGCGTCCCAGCCCAGGGTCCCTCCTGGACGCTTAAGCCCGCGACCCGGCCTGCCTCCGGGTGTCCTCTCCGGTCCCCATCAGACCCCAGCCCAAGGGGCTCTGGGCGGCAAGACCTAGGGCTCAGCCTGCACCCCGCCCCAGATGCTGGCGGCCGGCTGGGGTCCGCCGAGTTGGAGGAAGGGAGGGAGGAGTGGACAGGGGCTGCCCCAGACGGGCGGGGCTGCCAGCTGCCGTGCTCGACTGGCAGGGACCTTGGACCCCAATCCCACAGCTCCCTAGGAACCTGAGGGGGGCTGGTGCAGAAAGTTGGGCAGAGGAAGGGACTGGGGCTGCCTGGAGCCCAGGACTCTAAGGATGGTTTGGGGGAGCAACCTGCTATCCCAGCACTCAGGAGGCTGAGGCAGGAGGATCGCTCCAAGTTTGAGGCCAGTCTGAGCTACATAGGGAGTTCAAGTCCAGCCTGAACTAGGTATCCAGACTTTGTCTTAAAGCAAAAATGAAAAAGAAAGAAAGATTGTTGGAGATAGCTAATGAGAGTGTGGTGCCCTGAAAAATATCAAGGCCAAGCGCAGCCTGGCTGGCCTGCTTACCAGTTGCGTCTCCCAGCCACTAGGACGACCCTGCTCTCTGGGCCTCAGTGTCCTCATCTGTAAAATGGGGGAGTTGAGCATTGATTCAGAGGGCACCTTTTACTTTTCCCCTGAAAATGTCTAGGCCCTTGGTCTCCAAGGGCTCCCCACAGGGAGCCTGTAGAAATGAGCTCCTGTGTCCATCCGAGGGACAGTGGTCCCCAAGGTGTGATGTCTTATGCCTGTCATTTCAGTATGTGGGAGGCTGAGGCAGGAGGATTGCCACAAGTTGGAGGCCAGCCTGAAGGGCTGCATAGCAAGACCCTGTCTTAGAGCAAAAACAAAGTGTCAGTGGTCCCCGGCCCAGGCCAGCTGCCGCCGTGTGGCCCAAGCTCACAGCTGTCTTCCCCACACATTCTGGTGACCACATCCTCTTCCTGACATCCCACCCCACTCCTTCACCTGGGCAAAGATAAGGCCTTCCTGGAGGGGTCAGGATTGAGAGGTAAAGCTTGGGGCTGATGGTGCAGAGCCCTCAGATCTGACACCCGGGGGAAGCTGGAGACCTGGAGACGTGTGCACTGGGGAGGACCAGAGTGGGCTGTGCCGGGTGCAGATGGGTCTGGTGGGCTCCAGGTCCCTAGGACATTTCCTCTCTGGAGCTCTCCGCACCATCAGAGCTCCTGACATTCCACAGCGGTAGATGGGGCCAAGCATCCCCTGATTTACCCCCAGGCCTCTGGTTAAAGTGCCACCACGGGGGTGGGGGTGTCACACATTCACCAGAAGCACCCCAGCACCTGGCACCGCCAGAATCACCTTTCTGACAGAGCCCCCCCGACCCCTGGGTCAGTTTCTGGTCAGTTTCAGTAGCCTTTGGAAGCTTTCTGGCCAGGGGTCCATCCCTCTCTCCTGTCCTACAGCTGGGGCCTACTGGGAGGACCCATGGCCTCTCTGGAGCTCAGAACTGGAGCAGGGTAGAGCCTGCCTGCAATCCCAGTACTCAGAGTGGGGGCTGAGGTAGGAGGATCATCCTGAGTTCGAGGCCAGCCGGGGCTACATAATGAAACCCCGAAAACAGAAAAGCAGAGGAGTAGGCTGCGCTCTGGCTGGGGCCCTGCAGGTGCGGTGCAGCAGCCCCAGGCTAACAGGCCTGGGTTGTTACCTCCGTGAGGCGGGCTGCGGGCTGCGGGCTGCACAGGACAGACGGGAGCTCTCAGTCTCTGGGGCCAGCCTGTGGACTCGGGGGCCAGGCCCACATCTGCTTCCTGGACACACGTGCCCCGCTTCTTCACCCCAGCTCCCAGGCCCAGCCCTAGCCTGCAGTGACCCTCAGCCCAGGCTTCGTCCTCCTCCAGTCTGACCTCTGACCTCTAACCTCTGGCTGAGCTGTGACCCTGGGCCCAGCCCTAGACCCTGCTCAGTTTCCAGGGATCGATGGAAGCTTTCTGAGGCAAAGGGCCACTAGGGGAGAGGATGGCTGGGCCCTGAGTGGAGCGAGGTGTCATTTTTACAGCCATTTTGGCTGCTCATAAACACCCCCGAGTCGCTGGAGGCCCCCGCAGCTGGTGGGCAGCCCCCTCCCGGTGCAGCGCGGCCGGGTTTTTCCCTCTTGAGAAAGCAGAGGGAAGGTGGGGGCCCAGGGCCCAGCAGGCTCTGTCCCAGGTGGCTGAGGCACAGGCTTCCTCTCAGGCCGATCGCATGGTCCCAGGTACCCGCTGTCAGAACCCCAGGTCCACGGACATGTGTCCATAAGGTCAGACCTCCTGCAAGCCCAACACTCACTCAAGAGGCTGAGGCAGGAGGATTACCGAGGCCAAGGCCAGCCTGAACTACATATGAGACCTTCTCTCAAAAAAATGAAAGGAAAAAAAGAAAGTACACCTTGCATACCCTGTGGTGCTAACCAGGGCCCACCCTGGGGGAACCACAGCTCTGCCCCTCCCAGCTGCACCCAGGCCCCCTGGGGTCCCCGGCCCTGCTTACCTGGAGTCCTCAGGCCTTCCAAACCAGGCCGGAAGCTGCAGGGAAGACTCAGGTTGGCCATGAGGAGGCCATGGGCAGCTCTGAGCAGCTTCTCTGGTCCAAGCCTGGCGAGGATGCGGCTGCTGGGGACAGGAAAAGGCCTGAGTCAGAGCTTTCCCTTGAAAAGAAAAATTAATTATTTTTCACCAAGCCTGTGCTGGCCCAGGACTTTGTCCCAGACCTGAGCGTGGCTGTGGTCAGACGCCCTCCCCCAGACCTCGTGGGTCTGCCTGCCAGGCGTGGGGCCCGCTGGGGCCCCAGGCAAGCATGGGCCTTTCCTCTCCTGCCAGGCTTCTCTCTCTCCTTTTGCCTGTCCCTGGGTCCCCATCTAACCGTTTGGCCGCTTCTTTCTTATTTTATTATTTTTTGAGATGAGGTCTTGGTGCATAGTTCAGGCTGGCCTTGAACTCACGATGGCCTTGAAGCCATTCTCCTGCCTCAGCCTCCAGAGTGCCAGGATGACGAGCATGGGCCACCATACCCGCGTCCCTTTGGCCCTTTCTACATTTCAGAATCCCAAACCACTGTGAAATATGAGGGTGGCCCCTACACGTGACTTGCTTCAAGTTTTAGTCTCCTGAGAAATCAGATGGGACCTAGGCTGCTTTGTGCCTGCATGCCAGGTAAGAAAAGTGAGACGTGAAAGTCTTGGTGTCCCAGTGCTGGGGACCCAGTGGCTCCCAGCTAGAAGACAGGGGGACCTGCATTCCACCTGACCCCTGCAGCCCCACGGCCACCCTGAGCCCAGCCGGAGCTGGTTTGGGTCTGGAAGTCCCGGCTCAGCCTGCCAAGGTGTAATGATTCACATGGCAGTGGCTGCTCAGCACATTCCAGCATAGCCCCGGTGCCCGGCACGTGAAGTAACCGGCCCCGAACCACCCCTCTGCCACCCGCGCACGATCCTGGGACCCCCATCCCAGCGCTACCTCCTCTGAGGTTGTTTCCGGTGTGCTCTTTGGCTCCCAGACTAGAAAGGCAGGCAGGAGTTCGTGAAAGCCCAGCTCCAGGGAAGGAAACTGAGGCTCAGAGAGCAGAATGGCAAATGGCACATACGGGCCTCCTGCTGAGGGCTGCTTGGGAGAAGCCACTCACCGGGCATCCTTGGCTGTTGGCCATCTATGGCCCCGTTTCCAGCACAGTGGCATCAGGAGGAGGGAGGGCTCCCTGGTCTCTGCCGGGTGCCCCCACCTCTCCTAGATCCCGAGGCCACTCAGCCTGCCCTGCTCGTCCACTGACCCCAGCCTCGCTGGCCAGGGATGGGCGGCTGGGGCCTTCCTGCCCACAGTGATGGGGACAGAAAATTTGAGTCTGAAAGGGGCCCCTTAAGCCTCCTGTCTCAGATGCAGGCAGAGTTTGGAATCTGGAAATCTCAGTCCTCTCTGGCCTCGAGCTTGGGGTACCTGTGTCCAGCCTTGTTCCTCCAGAGAGCCCCAGCCAGGTTGTATCTGGTCCCCAGGTTCTGGGGAAGTAGGCCAGGGGAGGAGGGGTGGCTCAGACCCAGCCTCCTGGACCTGGCCGGGTCCCTGGGGCCACAGCAGCTCCCATTTGTGTGGAGCCCGTAGCCCCTCGGGCTCCTGAGGTTTACAGCTCCTGGATCCCTGGCCTGGGTGCTGGGGACCAGGGGCAGCAGGTGGAGCCTGGGAAAGGCAGGTCAGGGAGGTCATGGTTCCCAGGCTGTGGACTGGGGAGCAGAGGGGATGAGTGCACGAGGTGGGGGCCAGAGTGCTTCACAACTTCACCCGTAGACCAGGACCCCCCCAAGGCCAGGCCTGTGTTCCTCCAGACTGGAGTCCCAGGAGCCATTCTCAGATCGACTGGCCTTCCGGGCGAACTTGGGGCTCAGTGCCCTGCCCCTGACTTCCCTGTTGAGACCCCACAGCTGGCCTTGGGTTGCTGATGTCCCACATCTGGTATCCACTGGGGTGGGGGGTCCCTCATCTTCTCTAGCCCTCTTTCCCCTCTGTTTGGGAAGAGTTCCTCCTCCCTCCCCTCCCCTTCTCCCCTTCCTCCTCTTCTTCCTTTTCTTTTGTTTCTCCTCCATCTCTTCTTTTCCCTCCTCTTCCTCTTCCTCCTCCTCCTCTTTAATTTTTGTCATACTAAGGACTGAACCTTGGGCCTTCACACTGAACTACATCCCCAAGCCCTTCCCCCCACCTTTTTCTTTTTTGTGGTATCAGGGTTCGAACTCAGGACCTCGCGCTTACAAGGCAGGCGAGGTGCCATTGAGCTAAATCCCTGCCCCTCACTCTCCCTTTTTTGAGATGGGATCTCACTAAATTGCTAAGATACCCAGGCTGAGTTTGAACTAGAGCTCCCCTGCCTCAGCCTCCCAGAGGGCTGGCGGAATAGGCGTGAACCACCACACCTAGCTAGCAGGAGATCTTTTGGGGAGCTGAAGCATCAGGACTGGATTGTTGCAGAGGGCTGAGGCCCAGTGCCTGCTTACCCAGGGGCTCTGCAAGGCTCTTGTGAGACACTTTACGTGACTGGGTTAAGGTCCCTCCGAATACAAAGGCACCAGCATTTGGAGGAAAGGACCTGGGCCTGACCTTGAAGTTCTCCCCTTTCCACCCTGGTCCTCAGGTGGCACAGCGGCTGCGGGGGTTACAGAGGGCACTGGCCAATGCCGAGCCTCCCAGTGGACAGCCCTGCGGTCCCCATGTGGCCACAGTGGGCGGGGGAGAAAGCTCCCCCCAGAGCCCCTCGTGCCCCAGCACCCAGGCCAGCCTTGGGGACCCCAGTGGGGGCCAGAAGGGGTCTCACTTCCCAGAAGCCTTCCAGGTAGGGTGTGACTTCCCGCTCCAGTGGTCGTAAAAAGCCCAGAAGTCCAGCGTCCCGGTGTGTGTGGGAGGGGTCCAAACTCGGAATCCCCCTCCCAGGCGTGTTTGACACGTGTTTCCGCCTCTCCTGGCCCTGGCTCCCGCAGCTGCTATTTATAACCTTTAAGAGCTCCTGCCGGCTGCAAAGTTTTCTTAAACTCAAAATATCACCGAGGTCCCGGGCACGCGCTCCAAAGGCTGCCAGGCCCTGCGGTTTGGAGAGAGGAGGGGCCAGGAAGGAGGGGTGGGGAGGGGAGCACAGACACTGGGTCCTGGCCAGGGACTGTGGCAGGGGGACCCCGGGTGGGGGACCTGAGCCCGGGGAACCGTGGTCTTGACACTCTGGCCCTGCGTGGCCTGCAAGGACCCTCCACGTGGGTGGTCCGTGGTCATGCTGGGCCATCCGAGGACACCAGGGCCCTGGCTAGGCCTCAGTTTCCTCTGTAGACATGATTTGGGCAAGGTAGGGAGTTGGTGGACTCTGCGGACATCCAAGGCCAGGATCAGCGCTGCATCTGCCTGGCCATTCAACCCCAGGGGAACCTGTCCCAGAGGCATCGGAGCGGCTAGGGAGAGGTGACAGCAACACTCGGAAACAGCAGTGGCAAACCAGCCACCCGCTCCTGCAGCCTGAGCTCCAGCCCTCAGAGGGTCACTTCAGCTGTGAAAGAGGCTGATGTAGGGGAAGAGATGCACCTCCCAAACCTGCTAGATATCCAAAGTGTGAGTTCGTGTTCTCTAAAATCCAAGCATGACTTCTAGGAGCAACAGAGGTTAAGAGTAGGAAGAATTTATTGAGAGAAAGATGGCTTCTGTCTAAGTGAGACAGAAGGGGGACCAGAAAGTGGGTTACCTGCTCACCTGACTTCTCAAAGGTGTTGTATGGAACAAAGCTGTGAGTGAGGCGGGTTCAAGGTGGGACAAAGCTATATAGTCAACTAGTAAGATTGCAAGTAGAGCTGCTTAGGTAATATTGATCCAAAGAGAAATCACAAGGTCGACAAAACTATGAACAACCAATAAGATTATGACAAGTATAGTCACTTAGGTCATATTGATTCAGTGGGGATCCAATGGGGAAACAAGTCACATAGGAAGTGTACAAAGAAGGAGCAAGGATTTTCCATGGTAAGGGAAGGGTCAGGGATCTTTCTTGGAAGATTTGATCCCCCACAGAGGTGATCAATACCTATTTAGAATATTGATCACTGCTATTCATCCTTAGGGGAAGCATATGGGTGTGGTAGTTTCCCTTCTTTTACAGTGCTGGCCTTCAGTGAGTGGGTCTTGATTGTCCTCTAATGCTGGTTCCTCAAAGGCCAGCCCTGTCTAACTGCCCACAAGACATCTAATTAACTCACCTACCTACAATAGACCTCCCTGGGGACAGATGGTCACTGCCTGTAGAAGGGTCCCAGGGACAATAGAAGGGTGGCTATGCCTAGCTCTGATGCTAGGCAGGAGCTGGAGGAGACAAGTCCTGGCGAGGGCACAGTGCCACCTAAAGCCACACACTCAACTCCTCCCCACCCTGGCTACCCCTCGGCCCACGGGCCCCCCATGTCCTCAGGAGTGGGTGAGAATCTCCATTCCCCTCAAAGCCTCACACTCCTTGTCTTGCAAGGAGAGAAACAGGGACTTCCTGGGGCCCCGAATCAGGGCCCTCATTCCCCAGACATCCACTTCCTGTGTGTGCTGGGAGACAGATGCCTGAGGGTGAGGCAGACAGGGCCCTGCCGTGTGTGTGTGTGTGTGTGTGTGTGTGTGTGTGTGTGTGTGTTTCCATCCTGGCCCTTGGGGAGCCCGGGGCCTCAGCCCTTGCACTGCTGCCTTTACAGCCCGGGGGCTCTTGTGTGTCCTTCATTTACTTATGTATTTTGTTTTATTGTTTTATTTATTTATTTATTTATTTATTTAGTAAGTATTTTGGTTTTTTGAGACAGAGTATTGCTATGCAGCCCAGGTTGGCCTTGAATTTGTGGCGATTCTCCTGCCATGGCCTCCCAAGTGCTGGGATTCTAGGTGTGTGCCCTTCTGATGTCCTGTCCTCTATGAAGATTTCCTGGGTCTGCAGCCTCAGCAGTTAGCTAGAGAATTTCTTTCTGTTTCAACGCCGAAGTTGGACCCAGGACCTTTCGAATGCTAAGTGCACTCCCCCAGCCCCAGCCCCAGTCAGGACCTGGCCTGTGCCTGGTGCTGCCTCTCATCTCTGTCCCTGCTGAGGGTCTTAGGCCCGTGGGCTTTGTGGCACAGTTACTGGCTGGATCTTTGACCTCAAACACCTTCTGT